TGTCCTGGTCATCCCAGCAGCTTGTCCTCCCATCCCAGGAGGTTCTGGCATTGGCTGTATGTCTTGGTCATCCCAGCAGCTTGTCCTCCCATCCCAGGAGGTTTTGGGGTTGGCTCTGTGTCCTGGTCATCCCAGGAGCTTATCCTCCCATCCCAGGAGGTGCTGGGTTGTCTCAAACCCAAAGGAATATTCTCATATTCTCATGCCCAAGCAATTCCATACCCAGCAGAAGGTTCCAAGGTGTCCCTGTGCTCCCCATAAACTGTCACCTGCAGCCCAAGGGAGGACAAAGAGCAAGGAAAAGAGGATGGTACCAACCCTGAGCAAATCCATCCTGTCCTCATCCCTCCTTAGCAAACATCCCTACGCTCCTGTTTCCACTCCAGGGTGTTTTTTCCCTTTGCTCAGCACTGGCCGCCTTTCCGGTCCGGGATGCTGCCGGAGGATGAGGGGGGGAAGCACGTGTTTTTTGGGAAGCTGGAGATACAGCAGCACTTTGTGTGCAGCTCCCCGTGCCTCCAATTGATCCTGGCAACAGCAAATGTAAAAATAGACGCCGGGTGCCTTCTCCCAAACGGTGCCTTTTGGCAGCCGCTCCCTTCGAGTCTCCGTGGAAATGAGTGGGAGGAGGGAGGGAAGGGATTCACTCCGAGTGTCTGGAGGCAGTTGGGATGTGCTGATTAACCAGGGTGACCTAAATGAGTGAGCACAGCCACGGGGTGGGGGCTGGGGAGGCCTCTGCCACACGTGGATGCTCACAATCCCTGTTCCCAGCTTCCAAACCCCTTGGAGCACCTCTGGCTTCCCAGGAGCTGCCCCGGAGCTCGCAGGGGGACTCCGAGTTCTTCCCGTTTCTGAGGAGTTCTCTGTTTGAGGTTTCCTCTCCTGGCCCCCTGTGATGGGGTGAGTTGCTGTTTCCTTCCCCCTCAGCCATCCCTGGGGCCTGGGGGGCTCTCCAGCCCCTTCCCTGCTGCAGAATCCGTGGAGGACAGATCCTGGAATCCCCTATTTTGGGAGGATTCACCCCCAGCACGGTGCAACACTGCACCGAGGTGCTGGATCCAGGGAGTGTCAGAGGGAAGAATTTTTTTTTAGGAAAAGCTGATTTCCTGAGCCTGTGGTTTGTGTCTCCAGGCTGCATTCCCTGGATGTGTCCCATTGGAGATGTCCCTGAGCACACCTGGCTCTTCACGTGTCCAAGGCTGAGGTGTCTCAGCAGGAGCATCACTGATGATCCAGCAGTAGCTCATGGGGGGAAGGAGCAGTTCTCCACAGAGCAGAAGGATGTGGATATGGGACCAGCAGGCTGGGAAGCAGCTGGATTCATCCTCTGGGATGCCCGTTTCCAGCTGTAGGGAGCAAGGGAAGGAGCACAGATTGGGGGGCCAAGCACATCTCCTTAGGTAGGAGCAATCCTGCTCCCCATCACCACCAGCTCTGACTCTGGGACAAGACAGCCAGTTTAATTCAACTTTAATTTAATGTTAATCTAATTTTAATTTAATTTTTTTAACTAGCAAAGCCCATGTTGGGCTGGGCCCCCTCCAAACCTTGCTAAGAACCCAGGGAGCAGGTGGCTGGAGATGAGTGTCTTATCCAGGATGTCCCAGGCAACGAGGAGCTGGATCCAAGCTGGTGCCACCTTCCTCAGGAGAGGCCTCCAAAACACCCCCAAGAGGCAGATCCTTGTGGTCCCATATCCCTGGTGCCGGATGTGCTTGGCACAGCTTCCTCCCTCTCCCTGTGCTCCTCCAGCACCTCTTCCAGAGTCCGATTAACATAACCCACTTCTGCTATTTCAAGCCTGGAAAAGGGGCTTTGTGGGCAGGACTGGTTTGTTTTTCCAGGTGTATCCTCTATTCCCACAAAAGAGGTCGTGGCCCCCTTCAAAATGTGACCTCGGGTGGCCCCAGTCCAGAAACCCCCAGCCAGGGAAGAAATATGGGAAACCAAGGGCTGTGGGATGAGGTTAATAGTGAAAAAATGCTGTGGAAGTTTGATTTTTAGCTGGGCTGGGACTTGCAGCCCTCCCTGAGCCCAGGCAGTGTTTGCACCTCCCGTTTCCACTGGAACTGATTCATAAAAACCCCGGAACACGCAACGTGTGGAACAACTTAATCCTCCCAAACACTCGTCTGGTGCCACAAACTTAGAGCTGAGCCTAAAAATAGCCCTGTTGCCTGTTGGAGGTGTAGTCCTGACTGTTTGCTGACTGTGGATGAGGTCTTGGGATCCAAAAATAGCTCCTTAATCCCATGCCAGCATAAGCAGGGGCTTTTCCTTGAACAGATGCTTTTTGGAGCAGCTCAGGCCGAGCCCCCAAATTCCTTTTAATGCCCACAAGATTGGAAGGGATGGGATGGGAGATGCTGTTCCCTCTCATCAGCCTCAGAGGCTCGTGCCTTTCCTTAATCCACCCAGATTCCTCCTATTTTTTTTTCCATGGGATGACATAAGGTGTAAAAACTACTTTCAGGAGTTTTTTTGTTTTTCCTGTGAAGTGATTCAGCCTCCAAATCTCTCCTTTCACAGCTGCCAGGCTGCTCCAGCCCTTCCCTCTTGAACTTCTTCCAGCTCTTGAATTCAACTAAACAATATTGGATGTTCCAGGCAGCCTTTTCCCCTCCAATCCTACGGGAAGTGTCCTCCTGACTCACCTGCTCCTTCTCCCTGGCAGTGGATCAGCCCATTCTGGTGTCTTTTTGCTGCTGGTGTTTTGCTCTGAGGGGTTAATGCTGCTTTTTTTCCCCATGGATTTTGTTTTTCCTGCCCGCCTGGATATTTTCAAGCTCAAAGCCTGGGTACTGAAAATTGTGCAGTGGGAATCCTGTGGGGTGGGATAAGGGAGTGGTGGGAACAGGAATGCGTTCACTGAGGATTTAATTCTGTGTCTGTTCCCAGGAAAGTTCCAGGCTCTGTCCTTCCTGCATTTTGAATTACTTGGTGAAGGACCTGGGCGCTTCCAGCTGTGCACTTGGAATATTTATCAGGGAATTAGGGAATCTGTGCCCCATTCATAGAATGGTTTGGGTTGAAAAGGCCTTAAAACTCATCTTATTCCAACCCCCTGCCATGGACAGGGACACCTTCCACCAGACCAGGTTGCTCCAAACCCCATCCAACCTGTTCTTGGACGATTCCAGGGCATGGTGTAGCCTTCCCAGCTCCTCCCTTCATCCAGGATGTGATAATTTCCCTGGCAGCATTAGGGAAACTTCTGGAGAACACAATTACACTTCTCTCCTTGCCCTGGTGATTTCAGCCTGGTCACACCCACCTCCATCCCAGCACATTTTCCTTCCCTATTTTTTTTTTTTCTTCTCAGTGATTTGGCTCTCCAAGTGGATGTAAAACACCACTGGGATATTTATTTTCTGGGAAAATGTTAACCCAGGTCCAGAAATGTCTTCCAGCTCCCATTGCTGTGTCTTTCACCCAGGAAGGACAACACGGAGAAATAGGGTCTGTCCTGAACCTATAGATTTCCTTGGGCCTTGTTAAGGGGAATTTTAATCATAAATTCATCTTTTAATACTCTGATTTGGGAGGGAGCAGAGCTACCAGGGCAGTGGCTGTGCTGGAGACCTGCTCATCCTGCTGCAGCTGCCCTGGGAAGCAGCACCTGGAATGGGGCAGAAAGATGGAGCATCCTGTGGGAGAAGGGAGCGAAGGACCACTGGGTTGGCAGCGATTTTTGGGAAGAAACTGTTTCCTCACAGCCTGTGTTTGGTGCTGCCCCATCTGAACATGGAAATGGAGAACTAGAAGGTGGCTCTGGGCATGTCTTGCTGTGGTGTCCTCTCTCCCACCTTTCATTCCCACTGGCAGGAAGCAAGACCCCTTTCCCAGAGGTTGCTCCATGCCCTTCCTGTGGAAGAATTGGGACCTAAATGGAGGTTGGGATTATTTTTGCCTTGTGCAGTGGATGGTTTGGAGGCTTTTCCCGTGTTCCTGCCATGCAAAGCTCTGGAGCACAGTCCGTGTTCCAGGTTTTGTGTGGGGCAGGACAGTAGGAAGCATCCCTGGGATCCCGCTGTGGAGTCAGTGGGAGCCTCTGAGCTGGTGGACATGGCCAATATCTCCTTCTGGAGCTCTCACCAGGCAGGAGAATTCCATCAGCCAGCTGTGGGAATGCAGATATTTCCCGAAAACCAGTAACCTGGGTAGGGTTGGGTTGGGTAGGTGCTTCACAGAAGGTTCTCCTTCCCATTAAGAACTCCTGGGATTCACCATCCTCACAGTACTCGATGCAAGGACACTCTGAGTCAAACTTGAGCACCTTTATTTTGGGTGAGACACAGAAGGTCTGGCAGAAAGTTATTTTGATGGATGTTGTTGGGAGCCTTTGGCATTCCGGGTCTGCCTGTGCCTGGAAGGATTTGTTGAGTCACCGGCTCTGGAATATTTAAACCGGGAGCACAAAGCGCCGTCGGCTTTGTTTTCTTTCCAACCTGAGCTCCCAGCAACCTGACAAGTGACCCTACAAAAACTGGGCCACTGGTGGCAGCATTCCCTGGAAAAGCACAGTGGTGTCTGACACCAAGGTGGCGTTTTCCAGGTTATTTAGTGGAAGGACAGTGTTTAGGATAATGGCAGGGATGGAGATGGAGTTCTTACAATGCCATGGTGGTTGAGGGGTGTCTCTGACTCGGGTTTTAGGTGGTACCTGGGACTCTTAGAACAGAATCATGGAATCATTAAGGTTGGAAAAGCCCTCCAAGATCATGGAGTCCAACCTGTGACTGATCCCCACCTTGTCACCCAGCCCAGAGCACTGAGTGCCATGTCCAGTTGTTCCTTGGACACCTCTGGGGTGGGGACTGCACCACCTCCCAGGGCAGCCCCTTCCAATGTTTAACAACCCTTTCCATGAAGAAACTCATGCCAGATAGCACTGGTGCCTTCTCCCACCCTAGCAGCATCTTCTCCAGAGTTTTCCTGGCTTGTGACTCTTGGAAATGACAGAGGCACCTTTCCTTTTCTTTCCTCTCTGGCTCCAGGTGGCACAAGCTGCACTCCAAGGCCGGGAAGAAGGAGAAGGAGCGGGGTGAGATCCTGGTGAGCATCCAGTTCACACGGAACAACCTCACAGCCAGCATGTTCGACCTGTCCATGAAGGATAAACCACGGTCACCCTTCGGGAAGCTGAAGGACAAGGTGACAGGCAAGAAGAAATACGACCTGGAGTCGGCCTCTGCCATCATCCCCAGCAGCCTGGGCGGCCTGGACGTGGAGGATGACTACGAAATGGGGGGCAAGAAGGCCAAAGTCAAGGGCTTTTTCCTGAAGAACAAGCTGCGCAAGTCATCCCTGACGCAATCCAACACTTCCCTGGGTTCCGACAGCACCATCTCCTCTGCCAGCCTGAGCTTGGCAGCAAATGTTCCTGAGGTAACCAAATCCCCGAACAGACACAGCAGTCTGTCCATGGAGCGCTCTGGTAAGAGGATCATGGATAATCCCTCCCCCTTTTTTTTCCCCCCCTTCTTTTTTTTTCCTTTGTAAAGGACTGTTGAGACTTTCTTGCAAATCTGTTAACTAATTACTGACCTAGTCATGGAATCGTAGGAACATGGGGTTATTTGGGTTGGAAAAGCCCTCTGAGATCATCAAGTCCAACCATTCCCCAGCACTGCCAAGGCCACCACTGACCCGTGTCCCCAAGTGCCACATCCACAGGGATTTTAAATCCCTCCAGGGATGGGGACTCTACTGCTGCCAGGGCTGTGCCAGGGCTGGACAACCATGACGAAATTTTCCCCAATATCCAACCTAAACCTCCCCTGGCACAGCTTGAGGCCGTTCCCTCTCCTCCTGTCCCTTTTTCCCTGAGAGCAGAGCCCGACTTCCCCCCAGCTCCCCCCTCCTGTCAGGGAGTTGCAGAGCCAGAAGGTCCCCCCTGAGCCTCCTTTTCTCCAGGCTGAGAATCAATATCCTGCAAAAACCCTCTGAGATCTTCTGCCTTCTGCCTTTGTGCTTGGCAGAACAGGGAGAAACATCCAAGATTTTGCTTTTC